AAAATTACAAACATTAGACTTCAAACATGTGTCAGGGTCAGCCCCTGTTGTCCCACCTTGTGTCCCTTCCCCATTTGGTCAGCAGGCATTGCTAGTCATCCCGTTCTTCATGTTAGTCTTTGTTCTCCCCTGTTTCCTGTCTGGCCACATCGCTCAATGTGTTGAGCATGTGGTTGCTTGTGATCCTTGTCCTGTTTTTGTATTTTGCTCCCTAGTGTTTCATTTGAGTTTCTCTAGTTCTTGTGTCAGATTTTGTAGTTGGTTTTTGTTTTGTTCCTTGGGCCCTTGCTTGTGTCTTTACCTGTTTATAATTCCCTACTGTTGGTTTCTGTTTCCCTGTTTCCTTGGTTAGTTCTTAGTTTTCCTGTTTTGTTCCTTTGAGTTTATTAGTTTCATCTGTGCCCCGTTTTCCTGGTCTCTGTTAATTAGTCTCACCTGTCCTGTGTTAGTCTTATTACCCAGTTTGGTTTCTGTATTTAAGTCCCTGCTTCTGGGGGCTGTTCCACGAAGCGAGCTAACCTCAAAATCCAGGCTTATTTCGACAATCCCGGCTTAATTTTTCCAAATTCGGTTCCACGAACGAGGCTAACCTGAAGCTCCACTTAGTTAATATGTCAACATATGCTCTTGGACAAGCCTGCTCCGTGGCAGGTTAGCTGCGAAGCTTAGCTTAGCTTGATGAATATGATTGGACAAGCCATGTGATGTCACAGCACGACATTCTGCGGGGCTGGGATTATTCTGCTGCTGTTTTCTCCCTCTTTCGCACACATCGACCCTCCAATATAAAATTATTACAGATTACATGCAGGCAATTCCAATTACTCAGAAAGTATAAAATGACAAGGAGTGCATTGAAGGCTTTTACATGAATAACCATGGCGTGCCCATTTATTCATAATCCAGTTGATGAGGGAGCAAGGCTCATTCGTAGAGCTTTAAGGCAACAAGTTCCACAATTACTTCGGCCCAGGATAGATCCGTTGCATTTTCCGGATGATTATTTATACGAGCGCTATAGATTTAGTAGACACAGTATTGCATATTTGTGTCAGTTAATGGAACCTTACATTTCTAAAAACACACGTCGCTCTAAAGCCCTTACGGTTGCACAGTCTTTGTGTATCGCTTTGCGTTATTTTGCCAGTGGTTCATTTCTGTACAGTGTGGGGGATGCTGAACATTTAAGCAAAGCTACAGTGTGCCGTGAAATCAGGAAGGTTTACGTTGCATTAAAGTCCTTTTTAAATATATTCATTACCTTTCCTGGCCACCGAGGAATTCTTGCCATTAAGGAAACTTTCTTTGGAATTAATGGTGCTTAATCTTTAAACATCTACTCATTTACAACACATAAATCATTACCTGATAAGTAACTGAATTTAATTTTTGAGGCTTTCCTAACGTAAAGGAGCCATTGACTGTACACACGTGAGGATAAAGGCTCCAGCAGGTCCAACAGAGCCTGATTACATAAACCGCAAATCATATCACAGTATTAATGTACAGGTAAGTACTGATAATACCTCACATTTATATATGAGAGGTGAAAGTGTAGTCGTCCAACATTAGCAATGTATGTCATTACCATTTCCTAAAATGTTTCAGATGGCAAGCACTGCTGACCATCTAATTTCAAACATTGTGGCAAAATGGCCAGGATCAGTACATGATGCCAGAATTTTTCTCGAGTCTTCACTGGCTCAAAGCCTCAGACAAGGCAAGTCAACTAAAATTCACAAATATACTATAGTTTATTATACTACAGTCTAATGTGTCTACTTTCTATTATAGGGATTTTTCCTGGTGTGCTGCTTGGTGACAGAGGATACCATGTCTACCGTTTCTTCTCACACCATATACAGATCCTGCAACACAAGCAGAGAGATATTTCAACCATGCCCATTGTAAGACATGGGCACGCATTGAAATGACATTTGGACAGTTAAAATCCAGGTTTAACTGCTTGCGGCATCTCAGAGTTACACCAGACAGAGCATGTGACATTGTAGTAGCCTGTGCAGTTTTACATAATGTGGCAATACTGCAGCAGGAGTGTATGCCAATATTGATGCAGGATGAGCAATGGGAAGAGGGCCTAGCAGTGGAAGACCACATGGACGGTAGAGCTGTGAGAGATGTGTACGCAAACACATATTTTGGTTGATTCTGTTGCAAATTTCATTTATTTTTTTCCCCCAACTGTTGGGGGAAAGGGGAAGCATTTACAACAGTGAACAGTAAATGTAGACAATAAAGTGATGTTAACCACTTACATCTTTCTCCAATTTTTTTATTTCAAGCTTCAGTTTTTTTATTTTCAGTTATCTATATTCGAGGTCTGCTTTTCGGACTTCTACTTTCTGGATCAAATACCTCTTGTAAATAGCATGGATATCTGTCTCATTAGAAGGAAAAAATAATTATTCATTCATTCTTATTAATTACATTAAACAGTTTATTACTTACCTTCTTCCTTTGACGGTCTTGGAGTACATGTGGGCTGTGCTGATGAGGGCTGAGAGCATTGGCCACCTGGGTCTTCAGACTCCTGTACACAGCAAATACTGCATGGGTTTATAAGGAAGAGACAAATGTTATTCGCTGCAAAATAGTTTCAAGTTCATACGGCTAGCATTTCTGAGCAAACAGAAACAGTTTCCTCATCCTCCTGTGTCGTGGATGGCCCCGCGATCTGCAAAAAGGGAACATTTGTTGGTTATATTTACCATGGCCACAATGCAATCAAATTCAACTTTTGTCACATACAAAGTACGACATGCAGTGGTATGCTTATTGCTGTACAATGCCTGACTACAAGTATTAACAGTACAAGTAAAGCTATTTCCATTAGAAGCGGGACTTAACTTACAGAATTAACTTAAGTGAACAAAAACCACAATACTGTACATGACAGAATTAGCAGCAGATAAAGGCATTGGACTGGAACATTAAATATAAAACCCACAGTTATTGCAGTGTATTAAAGTATATGATTCAATACAATACTCACAACAGATTCTAATGGCTGTTGTTCAGGATCCAAGAGGGTCAAGACACCATCCACTACTGTAATGCATTAGAATATTTGTTTAAGACATTTAACAGAAAGCAAGGCAGAGAGGAGAAACAGAGTAAAGACCTACCATACCTTTAACATACGATTGCACATTACTAGAAGGAACAACATCTGAGGATGTTCCTCCCTCAAACCCCTCAATAATAGGCCGTGCACGGTTCTGTGCAAGGGCCATCACCTCGGCTGGGGTACAGGCTGTTGGCGGTGGGCAGTTGCAGCAGCCGCAGCTCTCTTTTTGGTGGCTAAATTATACAATGCAAAAGTGGCCTTTAAATGAATTCTTTAAAAAAGTGGTTCTAATTAAATTTACGTTTTACCATTCTGAAGAATATTTTTGTATTTAATCTTCACTTGCTGCCAGGACCTTTTCTTTCCACTCATGTTGCTCCTGAAACCAAGCATTATTAATAATTACAATTATATATCACTTTTTATCCAAGATGGACCCATATAATTAACATGCTGTCCTGTTTATCAATGTGTTAAAATAACCTTAAAGTACCTTACAACTGGTAACAAAATGCATATGTAAAAGGAAATTTTAATGACTATACATTTTGAAGGCTTGACACTGTTCTCATTTAGTTGTGAAATAGTTTGACATCCTTAACACAAAGGTTACTTAAATCATATTCTTACGCATTTAACCTGTCAGCTATTTTCTGCCATGCAGCCTCACGAGCTTTGATAATACAGCTCGTGTTCCCCTTTCTAGTTATTATATCTTTGTAGTTTTCATAGGCTTGTAATAATAATTCTTGCTCTGCCTGGGAAAAAACCGCAGCTCTCTCCTTAGTTTCCATTCTTACTTATCCAGCATCGATTAACAAGGCTGCCTTTTATATCGCGCAGATGCGCACGAGCCTCGCTTATCAAGCTTGGCTTGAATTAGCGGAGATTAAATACACCTGAATTTTGTTCGTGGAACTCAATGAGCCTGAAGTGAACTGTTAGGCTAACTCAAGCGAGGCTATTACAAATAATCCTCGATTTTATAAGCTCGCTTCGTGGAACAGCCCCCTGTTCTGTTCCCTAGTGGTTTGTTGATTGTGTTTGATGATTGTGATGGTGGTTGATTGTCTTAAGTTTTGTGAGGTTGATCTGTATTCTGCTTACCTGCCCAGTTTTTGTTATTTGTGATTTGTAGTTTTTGTTTATCCCCTTTAGTTTTTGACCCCTCGTGGTCCTTTGTTTTGTTAGCCCTATCTTGTGTTTTTAGTTCAGTTAAATTAACCCTGTTTGTTTTCTTGGAGCCGCCAGTGGGTCGTCCACCTTTTTTATGCCTTGGTCATGCCACGTTCTCGCACCCGAGCCGCCCGGATCCATGACACATGTCCCAATGGCTAACAATTAACTTCAGTGCAAATGGATTGTGAACACACCCTTAATGATTTTGAATTAATGAATGAACAAGATCTAAAAACTATTATAATTAAGACTAAATCAACCACGTGTCCACTGGACCCAATCCTCACTAAGCTTCTTAAAGAATTCTTGGGAGTTCTGGCAAGACCTATAACTGCCATACTGAATGCATCCCTGTTGTCAGCCGATGTCCCTGACTAACTGAAAGTAGCAGTAATCAGGCCACTACTGAAGAAGCCAAGTTTGAATCCACATGAGCTCAGCAGTTACAGACTTATCTCGAATGTACCATTTTTGTCTAAAGTTCTGGAGAAGACAGTTGCTGCTCAATTTAACTCATACTTGGAGAGACACAGCATACTGGATTGTTTCCAGTCGGGCTTCCGCCCAGGACACTGCCTTGACTAAAGTTGTAAATGAAATAACAATGGCAACTGATGCTCAGAAAACTGAGGTTCTGTTGTTTGGAGGCAGGTCGGCAGATAGGAATAGTATAATCTCCACACTTCGCTACAAAGGGCTAAACTTTTCCCTCAGCAGCTCAGCCCGTAACCTAGGTGTCATCTTAAAGATACAAGCCTCTCATTTAAATCACATGTAGATGCAGTATTGAAGCCGTGCTTCTTACAGCTACGCCAAATCGCCAAACTGCGACTATTTCTTACTATTTAAGACACTGAGAAATTCATACATGCGTTTATATACAGTAGGTTAGACTACTGCAATGCTCTCTTATCTGGGAGCACACACTGCACACTAAATTCCTTGCAGCTTATTCAAAATGCAGCAGCTCAAATTGTTACCAGGAGCAGGAAGTTTGAACATATAACCCCTGTTCTTAGTTCCCTGCATTGGCTTCAAAGTTCTCCTACTTAAATATAAGGCACTTAATGGTCTACCACCTGCTGACAGAATTACTTCAAGTTTGCAATCCGCATTGAACACTCCGATCACAGAATGCAGGTTTCCTTGTCGTTCCACATATAAAGTGAGAGTGGGCGGTAAAGCATTCTGCTACAGGGCCCCTATATTGTGGAATGGTTTACTGGCCTATGTTCGGGATGTTGATTCAGTCTCGGTCTTTAAATCTCGACTGAAGAACCATTACTTCAGTTTAGCTTACCCGCAAACTACTACACCATAACTATGGCTGCTGGTGCTGCTGTACATGTCATTTTTATGTGCTATGCTTGTCTGTTTAGGTATCAACGCATGTTCTGACCATCCATGCTCTCTGCCTTCACACATGTCCGGGTGGTGCCCGGGGTGGGCACCATCTGAGCTGGAGTCCTGGTTCAGTCCCCTGCAGGGGTGACATCGCAAATGAGCCATACGAACTATATCATCGTGGGTGCAGCCTTCAGTGCCACCAGACACAGCCCAACGTGGATAAAAGACCTTAGCTACTCCTCAGAGGCCAACATGGATAACTCATTGATGGATTTTGTCTTTATTCTTAATCCCAGCATATACCTCCCTTTTAGCAAGCATGTCCGCTCTTTTCTGTTTTCGGTAAGATAAGATAATCTTTATTGTCATTGCCACTTGACAACGAAATTGCGAAAGTGCAGGCGACTCAATGTGAGGCATGAAAGAATATATTACAAAATATACAAATTGCACTAACTATACATATTGCACTGGAGAAATATATGAATTGCACTTGTGAATATGAAAAATTAACAGTTCTTTTTAGAGTTTAAGTTTAAGGTCATGATTGCTTTTGGATAAAAACTGTTGTTTAGGCAGTTTGTCTTGGTTTTCATGGCTCTGTATCTTTTTCCTGATGGCAAAAGCTGAAAGAGACAGTGACCGGGATGTGATGAGTCAAGTGAAATGTCCATGGCTTTTTTCCGGCATCGGGAGGTGTAGATTTGTTCCAGGGTGGGGAGAGGGCAGCCAATTGTTTTCTCCACTGCCCTGATGACCCTGTGGAGTGCTTTCATGTCTGAGGAAGTGCAGCTGCCGTACCACACGCAGAGTCCGTATGTAAGTACGCTCTCTATGGAACAGTGGTAGAAGGCAAGGAGCAGATTTTTGGGGAGACGGTTCTTTCTGAGGATTCTCAGAAAATATAGTCTCTGCTGAGCCTTTTTCAGCAGCTCCTTGGTGTTGGCACTCCAGGTCAAGTCATCCTTCAACTCCATACCCAGGAACCTGAACACTGGGACCCTCTCCACTTGTGCCCCAGCGATGATGAGTGCCTGAATGTCAGTTTTATTTTTCCTGAAATCAATGACCAGTTTGTTTTGGTGGTGTTGAGGAGCAGGTTGTTGACTCTGCCAGCTCACTCTCCTTGCCTGAGATAAGTCTGATCACTGTCGTATCATCTGCAAACTTAATGATCTTGTTGTTGCTGTGCGTGGGGACACAATCATGTGTATAGAGGGTATAGAGGAGCAGGCTGAGCACACAGCCCTGCAGTGACCCGGTGTTGATACTGAGAGCAGAAGTGATGTGGGAACCCAGTCTGACCCTCTGGGAGCAACCTGACAGAAAGTCCAGTATCCAACTGCAGGTAAGTGATGGAAGTCCAGTTTGGACACCAGTCGTTGTGGGAGGATGGTGTTAAACGCCGAGCTGAAATCCACAAAAAGCAGTCTGGCGTAGCTCCCCTGTTGCTCCAGATGAGTCAGGGCAGCATGAAGGGCTGTGGCCACAGCATCTTCTGTGGATCTCTTTGCCTTGTTAGCAAATTGGAATGGGTCCTGCTGGCAGGCAGGCAATGATATGACTCCGCACCAGTTTCTCAAGGCACTTCATGATGACTGATGTAAGTGCAACTGGGTGGAAATCATTCAGACTGTTCGTTGTGAATTTTTTTGGCAGCGGAACAATGGTAGAAGCCTTGAGGCAGGATGGGACAGTGGCCTGGGACAGGGACTAATTGAAAATCCTAGTAAGGACTCCAGCCAGTTGGCTCCAGCTCGTCCAGCCACACCATCAGGTCCTGCAGCCTTCCTTGGGTTCACCTTCCTCATCACCCACCTCACCTCCCGCTCTTCCACTGTGAGAGTGTTGCTGTGGTAGCTAGGTGGCTGCACTGGAGCTGCTGTTCGTGTCACCTGAAAGCGGGCAAAGAAGATGTTCAGCTCCTCTGCCAGAGAAGCATCTCCGTCAGCGACCGCGGGGTTACTGGATTTGTAGCTGTAGGATGGTAAAACCAAGCTCTCAGTCAGAGAGCACACAGTCTGGTCGCGCCGCCATCTATTAAAAAATAAATAATAGGTGGCTATATAAAAATAAATTGAATTGAATTGAAGTCCCATGCACCCTCCAGGACCCTGCCATGAGTATAGAGCTGGTCCACTGCTCCTCCTGAATCCAAGGTTCAACACTCCGACGGACCCTCCTCTCCAGAACCTCCGAATAGACCTTACCAGGGACGATGAGGAGTATGTTCCCCCTAAAGTTGGAACACACCCTCCTATTTTCTTGAAGAGGGGGACCACTACCCCAGTCTGCCAATACAGAGACATCGCTCCTGATGTTTACGCGATGCTGCAAATGCGTGTCAACCAGGACAGCCCTGCAACATCCAGAGCCTCGAGGAACTCTGGGCGGATCTCATCCACCCCTGGGGCCCAGCCCCCGAGGGGCTTTTTAAAGAAATAAGTCATTTTAGGGGCAAGAACTTTATTGATTTATTGATATTAGATTACAAATCTGCAGTACAGTTGCAGATGAAGACTGTTGCTAAAACAAGTACATTTTTAAATATAAATATGGAAATGACTTCAAACCAAGTGTATAAGTCTCAGGCCACTAACATTCTGTATTTTTGTGCTGCACTCTGTTGACAGGTGTTCTGTGTGCTCGCCCAGGGTGGCTGTGTCA